GACAGATTTTGCAGTCATTCAAGGATCTGGTAATTTTATGTAAAAGAGAGGAAACTGCATTTTAGCGTGCATCTGTTTGGTTTATAGGCAAACCGAAGAGAATCATAAGGGACATCAATGGAAGACTGAATGCGCTTAAGAACAGAACGTTCTGCTGTTTTAAATCCAACAGTTCCAGCAGTCTAGTATAGAGTAGGTTTTTAAGGAACTGTTCAAAAAAGATGTGAATATCTCACTGACAGAATAGACCCCATATCTCAGAAGGGAAGATGAAAAACCATCGGGACCCACAATGCACGTGATTGTCACGGTACGCAGAAGCTCAAAAGTTTCTTCATTCGCAACGGCCTCTACTTGAACCGCATCCTCCAGGACAAATGGCGCCATTGCATCGCTTGATGGGTGGGTAAATGTTGCATTAACATTGTCTAAATCCGTTGTACAATCCAGCGTTTTCGATTTGGTCCCATACAGCAATTTGATACCTTGCCAGGGCACAACCAATTCATACCGGAAGTGTTGCTGTGGCGATGAACCCTTGAGCACATTGATGTAACAATCAGGTCAAATGTAACCTGTGCGTCAAGTGTGATATGAGCTACTGGTATTTCTGTAGGGCAAGCATGCCCAAACAACCTCAGGGAGGTAAGCTGGCGATCCTTCTGGTGATGACGAATCATGGTCCGGACTCGACAAGCCGATCATTTATGATCATTTATGCTAACACCAACTCCAGGTTGCTTAGGTCTGCAGAGGCGGTTGCAATTAGAAAGTGCAAATGTGGCTTCTATTGAACAAAAGAGAGTGTCATTCCCAATATCATTATCTTGGTAGCGGTAAGAATTGTGAACGTTCGACCCTGTTGCATTCGTGTGTAACATAAATCGTACAACCTATGTTTGTTGTACTTTTTTTTCAAGATCGTTCTGTAGTCGAAATCAATGATTGCATGAGTATACCACACACACACACACACACACACCAACGACTAGGAAGCACACAAATGTAAAATCTCCGTAACACGCAGCCAGATGTTCCTGTTCGGGACAGTGGTGAAAGTCGGGTATTTACATCACCTACACAATCTACGATGTTTACTTGGAACCGGTTGTGGTGGTAGACAATCGTCAAAACTGTTCAGAATATTTCTCTTCTCCGTGGGAAGTGGCTAAGAGACGAAATTCCTATATAGGCAGACGAAATCAATGAGACAACCGTTCTGTAACTTTTTTCAGTTTGACCAGAAAATAAACAACCGCATGTCTTACATAGTATATAACGTTATACAACAACTTTTTGTTTCGGGAACTGAAAGAGGTGCGCAGATTTCGATTTCGTTGTTAAAAAAAGAAACAAACAATTGAGCGTAGACGTAAAATCAAGTATTCATTTGTTAATTTAATGAAATGAATTGAAGGATTGTTGATATTGTGCTTAGGTGATCCATTTCTCCCCGTGTTTGTTGATTGCGAGTGAAAAACTGTCTTTCTGATGCGATCGTACCGCGAGAAAGGACACTTGGTTCAACTGAGGATTTTTATTGGTCATCATCGGAAATTTCGAAGTCTAATTTGTTTCAGTACATTGACAATCACATCGTTTCATGCACCCGGATATCGTTCGAATACCGACGAGCACATAGTCGACAGCCTATTATCGGCATTCACATACTTGGTTTTTGTTAAGGAACAGATATCATTTAGGCCAGACAAGGACAGTCCGGATCAGAGGATCACATTTATGCTTTTGAGATTTTAAAACATCACAGAGCCTCTCTGCCGCCCCCCCCCAACCCCCACCTCTGCATTTTCCCCGTTTACATCTAACCACGAACAGCTTATCCTAGATTACCTGGGACCGGTAGTGTGATGTCTGAATGCGATAATGCACATTCCTGAGAGTATGTTCCGTGAATCATCACTCCTGAGGCTTTCCGACGTGATGCAGTACTGCGACAACGCGCAGCACGTTATATTACATTCGGCTTGGCATCAGTTTCCGGTTCTCAATCGATTACCACTTCGGATAACCTTACCATGGATACTACTTCACTCGCCCTCGATATAATGCACTTAGTACATGGAACATGATCTCAGCAGTCATTTTATTTGTCCATTAAATTTCAGTTACCGCCGCATTTAGTCATGTAGCGGAAACCTAAAACTATCAGAACGGAGCCCCGCTACATTATGCTAGGGATCGAAAAGAGAGCGGGAAAGGATAAATCCGAAACAGCGCGCATGGAACGAGTACACAGAACAATACATGCAGACCCAAAACGGCTATTAGTCGCGAGCTGTTACACCTTTTGTTGGTGTTCCTCAAGCGCTAACGTAAAACAAATAGGTATCTAAGTAGCCTCGAGGTAAGGGAAAAATTTTGATTCTATCAGTCTAAAAGATTTTTAATTGATGAGCTAAGTGCTGAGTGATAGTCTAGGGACGTTAGATACTGGCACGAGGGTATGAAAACCCTAAGCAGGAGATTCGGTCAAACAGAGCACTGGTTAGAGACACTGAATGGCTGTGTCGTAAGTAGTGACATGTGTGATTTAGGAGTGAGAGGACGAATCATATAGACACATGAGGAATTGGGTTTTCCGAATGGGTGACTAAGACTCCGTGGTACGGCACACTTAGCGGTAGCCTGACAAAGGAATTTTTCTTTATCAAAAATAACGGGAACTCTCTAGTTAATTTTGACCCATTATCCGTTGGGGTGTATTCGAACGTGAGAGTCTGACCGAAGCACTCGTATGGGAGTTTCATGAGACCTACTATGTATGGCCTTTGGGTTTCGGTTCAGAATTTAGTTCGCTGGTGTGTTGATTGACGGTTCGCGGTTTGTGATCGGCCTTTAGTTCCATGCGCCCAATGAGAAAGGCGGAAAGTGGACGGGACAACACCTAATGGGTATACGGTATGTGAGACAAATGGATTGGCAACCGTGTAAACAAAGCGCTTCCGGGAGTAAAGATTGTAAACTAGCAGCCTAGAGCTGACTTTCGGCGCTGATCGCTCAGAAGAATCAGTTTGAAATACGTCACCTTTGATGGGATGTTTTACCGGGGATACCAATGAATCTTCCGGAGTAGCCGCGTCGTAGCAACGTTTTCTTTAGGAAAGAAAACCTAGCAGTGCAGTGGGTTGAACGTCGGGCCGACGAGTATTATCCAGGAATTTGACCGATATGCCTATCGTAAAATTTGGTCCTGATTAGGTTGTACACCTGATATGTTCACGCTCTTCGATGAAAAAGCGATCGCATAAGTTGCCGTTTCAAAACAGCCAAGTCGAGAAAGCCGCAGGAACGACCTTTTACTTCTCTTTGCGGTGTTTATCTGTAAATGAGATAGACGAAGGCACACTCATATACACACATAACCAAGCAAGCGAGCATTACGTCAACCACTGCTCGAATCTTTTTGTACTCCAGATGGTGTATGTGTCCGTCAAATCAGGTTCATTGAACGGTTGAATTTCGGCTGGATCATTTAAACGATTCCCTTTCGGAGAATCAGTTTTTTCTTCTGGGGTTAAATGACGATAAGAAGTCGCAAAAAAACTCAAGGGCTGAAAATCGCCAACGGGAAAAACTGTCACTCCGGGGGTTGGCCGGATAGAAGGCAGAAGTGCTGCTGATGAATCGAATGCATGTGCTGATAACTCGGATTGTTCACAGCCGGCGCGGCGTGGAACGAAGCATGAATAATCACTGCAGACTGATTCACTGCTGCTGATACACTTTCTGCTTTAAACCATCGATGTCTTCATAGTATTTGTTGTGTTCGATGGTAACGTCAGGGGGGG